CTAGAATGTTTGAAAAGGACTATGAAACTGAATATGTGGGAAGGAATGGACTTGGATGTCAAAAGATATTTGAATTCTGGAGCTTTTTCTTAGTAGATGTACGGACTTGGGCAAGTTAGCTCAACTCCTGAGTCTCAGTTTTCTCATCTGAAAAATAGATATAATAACATCTACATACCTCATAGGGGTGGAGTGAGAGATGATAAGGCATGTAGAGCTTTCAGCCACATTGTCGGCCCTCAGATGTTAGTTTGTCCACTGAACCCACTGCATTGAAGTCTTCAGCTTTTATTTGCCTGAAATGTTGGACAATAGTTTGTTTCTCTGGAATTTCACTAACTCCAGCAACTCAGAATAGGTTGCTTAAGAGAAAGAAGGAAGCTGCTGGCTCATCCAGCCTAATGCCACACTTTACACACGTGAAAATCCAAGCCCAGATACATTTCCATAGGTCACAAAACTAAGCCAGTGTCAAGATCCCTGCTGCCCAGGTCCAAGCTGCCAATTCCAGAGGCTTGACTAAGTTGTGAAAGAGAGTTGGTCTGACCTTGCATTTCACTATCCTTTCATCCACCCAGCAGAAACCCAGGGTGGGGAGGAGAGGGACAAAGAGAACCCTGAATATGCCCCAAGGTCAACTTTACTTTCAGGCACAGATAATAAAGACTCTATGTATAATGAAGGCTCTCCTTCACCCTAGGAGACCTGGAGCTGCCCCAAGGCCTAGGCTGGAAGAGCAGATTGATTTCTTCTCGCCATCGATTATTTGTAGTTGCCTGGGGAGCTATGTTGAGGAGTATTCTTTGACCATTTCCAGGTTCAACAAGACAGAGTTCTATGATGGGTGAATAATATCTGCTTTGGGTGTGGAAAGGGAAAGTAGCAGCATGAATTCCTGGACCCTATCTCCAATGGATTCTGCTGAATCAGAATCTCTAGGGATGTAGCTGAGGCATCTGCCTTTTAAATAAGCTCCCTGGGTGAAGTTTGAAAACCACTGACCTAGTGGACAAGCTAAAAATCCCTCTGAGTATGCCCTGCGTAGGTTTCCTGGGACCTGTCTCAGTGGGTTCCCTGAAGTTGATGAGACATGTGATGTAGGAGAAAAGATCTCACAGCAGTGAAGCCTGAGCACATGCCGCTTTGTCCAGATCCTCCTCAGTCTGCCATCAGTCTAGCCGGGACTGTCCCTGAGGCCTGAAAAAGCACCCAAAGGCACTGGGGTAATCACAAGAAAACGGCAGATAACATTTATAGCAAACTGGTTGTCATGGGTTGAATTTTCTTCCTCCAAAAATTTATGTGTTGAAGTTCTAACCCCTCGTACCTCAGAATGTGACCTTGCTTGGAAACTAGGGTTGCTGCGGATGTAATTAGTTATGATGAGGTTATATTGGTGTAGGGTGGGCCCCTAACCCAATATGACTGCTGTCCTCGAAAACGGGGAGACTTGACACAGAGGTAGACCCATGCAGCGGGAAGACAGAGTGAAGAGACACAGGGAGAAGATGGCCATTTCAGGCCATGGAGGGGGCCTTCACGCATAGCTCTCAGAAGGAACCAACACTTGATTTTAGACTTCTAGCCTTCTGACAGTTTCAGAACTGTGAGACAGTAAATATTCTGTTGTTTAAGCTAGCCAGTTTGTGGTTATTTGTTAAGGCAGCCCTCACGAATTAATACACTGGTCTAAGGACATTAGGTACTATTATCATGCCAACTTTAGAGATGAAAGGCCACAATATAGGGAGGCTTCGGGTAACTGCCCAAGGTCATACAGCTAGATGGTGGAATGAGGATAAAACCCAGATTTAGCCCTTCTCTTGCCCTGGGATTGCCTCTCATGGGAATAGCTTGCAACTTCCTGATACTGAACCTGCTTTGTGCATTCCTGCCTCTCTGTCCCCCTGCATGGCATGCTATGCTGACCTGGGTTCTTATAGCCAATAACCAGTGCATCTCTGGGTTTTGCCTCATTTCTGTGCTGTCACTGCCCTGAGGGATAATGAGCTTATGTCCGCCTGAGCTTCCACAATGTTGATGTGTGTCCTTGTTCAACAAGATGAATAATCTCCTGAAATAAGCATGATAATAACTGAAGAAATGAAAGGAGTACAAAGTATGCTAGGAAGATGGTCTGTGCCTAAAATATTAGAACATGTGAAAATGGAATCACCTTTAATTTTTCTTCTTTTCAGTGGAGAGGGAGGATTATATCTGTAATATCATTGTTTATATTGCCATATATTTTGGCAGGCAGACTCTCAACCACTGCACCACCAGGGAAGCCCAAACCTCAAACTTTTAAAAAATAGAAGTATAGTTGATTTACAATGTTGTGTTAGTTTCTGGTGTATAGCACAGTGATTCAGTTATATATATACATTTTTTATCATATTGTTTTCCATTATAGGTTGTTACAGAGTATTCAATATTGTTGCCTGTGCTATACAGTAGGACCTTGTTGTTTATCTATTTTATGTATAGTAGTGTGTATCTGCTAATCTCAGACTCCTAATTTCCCCATCACCCTTTCTCTGTCCGGCTTACTTCACTTGGTATGATATTCTCTAGGTCCATCCATGTAGCTGCAAATCTCATTATTTCATTATTTTTTATGGCTGAGTAATATTCCATGGTGTGTGTGTGTATACCACATCTTCTTTATCCATTCATCTGTTGATGGACATTTAGGTTGCTTCCATGTCTTGGCTATTGTAAATAGTACTGCCATGAATATTGGGGTACGTGTAACTTTTTGAATTAGAGTTTTCTCTGGATATATGCTCAGGAGTGGGATGGCTGGGTCATATGGCAACTCTATTTTTAGTTTTTTAAGGAACCTCCATAGTGTTTTCCATAGTGGCTGCATCAACTTACTTTCCCACCAACAGTGCAGAGAAACCTCAAATTTTTAGTGGCTTAACACAAGGGAAGTTTATTTCTCCATTATGTAACAGTCTGATGTGTATAATCCTACTCAGCAGAGAGCGTTCTTACTTATGGAAATCCAGATGCTAAGGTTCCTTCTATCTTGAGAATCTTCTTCTGCTTCCGGTTAATGGAAAATTCTTAAAATGGCACATCTCTTCTACTCACATTCCATCGGTGAGAACAAGTCTGATGGCCACATCTGGATACAAGGGGTACCGGGAAATAATGGTTGGACAGTCACTTCCCAGCAATGAATTCACACCCAAAAGGGGGAGCATACATTTTGGGGGGTTAGCTAGCAGTCTCTGTCACACTATCTTAGTGTGGGTGAGAACCATGGTATTAACATACTTATTCCCTGCCAAATTGCCTCACTCCAGTCCAGCAAGCAGAGTTTTCAAAGCTGTCCTTGAGTTTGGCTGGACCCTGTACTGTTCAATCTCCACCATCAGACCTACGCCAAGCCTTTGGAAGTGCTGGCAATGTGTGACGGGAACTGTTGTAGAAGGGTCAGCAGCAAGTTGTGCATCAGGGTCCCCATCCACTGCCTGCAGCAGCCCTTCCCTGTTCTGCAACTTTACTCTAGATAATTACAGGGCTGGAGAAGGACACGCTTATTTCTTCCCCTGTTGGCATGGCTAAAATAAATATATTTTGAAATCACATCCTGGTCATGCTTGCTTCTCTTTCAGCACCTACGACTGTTTCCACATCAGCCCCAACACAGTGCCTTGTTCAGACAGGTTCATACACGTGTTGAATGAATAGACAAACTAACATGAATGTCTTAACAATGTCCAAGGGGAACTGTATATCAGGGTCCTAAACGGTTTATACGCCAACTAACCCAAGCCCCCCAAATAAGCTTATTCGTGCAAACATGACATGGGGACCACCCAACGCAAGGGAGACACCCCAACCCATGTTCTTGGATATCAGTGCTCATGAAATAATGCTTTTGATGGGTCTTTTCCAGTCACTCTTCGCTAAAAAGAGGATTTTTTTTCTTTGCAGCTGAGGCGGATTGTTACTTAGGATTGTAACGAAGTGTATTGATTTTCCAAGTTGGGCTGGGCTGGTGTGAATCACTACTGGATTCTTAGTTTCTCTGCCCTTGAGCACCTTGGGCAGCCAGGACCCTGTGCACAGAGCTGAGCACATCAGAGCCCAGTACTGTCTCTCACCGCTTAAGCTAGAGGCGCGGAGACCGTGGATGTCAGCCTGGGTTATTGGGTTGAATTTGAGGGAAGGGAAAATATGAAGTGGTAGAATCCTTAAGGGGGAGACACATGGATACTGAATAGGTACTTTAATGCCTACTTAGAATTCAGTGAACAAAATTTATGACCAGATAAAGAAATCAGAAAGGCAGAAGTACAGAAAGTGTTTGTGAGAAGAAAATAGTATTGTGAAAACATTCCCATTATCCCAAAGATTGGCCTAAATGAAACGTTCACCTATTCAACTCATCCTCAGTTGTTGGTGAAGCGGAGCTGCTTTCATTTCCTTTAAGCCTCGGAGGCATCTGGGAGGTAATTTGCAGTGAAGTCCCTGGGGGAGGTCAATGCACTTAGATGCAGGTTCTCCGTGGAATCCAGAATGGAAGGGGTGGGGTTGGGGTCCTGCCTAGCTGTTCTCCCCTGCCTGCTGGGAAGCCTGGTAGATGAGGTCAATGAGGGGGCACCAGAGGGTGGGGGAAGGAGAAGGTTGGCTGCTAGTAACCATTTTAGAGATCTACCAGGGAAACTGAGATATTTAATAGTAGATGCCCATCTATTGATTGGGACCAGAAACCTATGCTCCCAGACACATCTAAGAGTTAATAGTGGTACCTTCCGTTGATTTATGGGAAGTAGTTTCTAGGCAACTGTGAGCTTGTTTTTGGTGACTTTCATCTCCCCTTCTATTTGTTTAAACACCTTTTAATATTTTCATCAGAAATAATACCATTATAAATTAATTTCTCTGCCCTCAATTCTAAAATGCAAATATTCCTGAAAAGGGTCACAGGCATAGCCGAAACACTCTAAAATGATCCTGGCTTATTAGATGTTTTCTGTCAATAGGAGGAAATGTTGAAGAATGTTGGGAATTGGGAAGTGGAAGGAAAATCAAGGAGACACTGTGGCTTCTGGACTGGAGCCATATGGTAGCTGGGAAGCCTTTAATGTACACCTCAAACCTGTGGAAACATGTACATAATTACTTACGTAAGTACAATGCCTTGGTCATTTGACGTATTTTACTCTGCAATATGAATATGATGACTCTTTCCAAATGTATGGAGTTTTCACCCTAACACACAAGGCTTAGAACTATTTGACAAAAGCTTATTTACACTCTGAATAAGCTTAGAGTTGGGTTTGCTTGGAAGTTAAGTTAATGATAAACATCTAATGTAAAATAAAAGCATGCAAATTGGTACAACCTTTTGGGAAGACAGTATCTATTAAAAATTTGCATGTGCATACTCTTTGGTCCAGCAATCCTACTTCTGGGAATTTTTCCACCAAAATAGTCCCAGAGTTATGCCAGGATATTGCATAGGATGTTCCCTTAAGTGCTGTTTATAGTGGTGAATAATTAGAAGTAATTCAAATGTCCTTTTTTAGGAGATTTCGTTAAATAAATCAAGCAACAATCATAAAAGAGAATACCAAGAGACTTAAGAAGAGTGAGGCATTTCTGTAGTTACTGATCCAGAGAGATGTCAAAGCTATATTATTACATGAACAGGCAAGTGCAATCTGATACAATTCTCTAGATGGCTGTACATTCTCAGAAAAGGTCTGCAAGGACACATACCAAATTGTTAAGTGTTAGTCATCTGAAGGGGACGAGGAACTTCAACTTTCTCTTTTCATTATTTCTGTGTCGTTTGAGTTTTCAACAACATCTATTACTTTTGCAATAATTTTTTTTTATAGAAACTATATCCTGCCAAGGTGTGGCCTCAGTTTTGTTCACAAGCCCTCCTCACCAGGGGGATGCTCTTTCTTCTCATGCCTGCAGTGCTAGGTGTGTGTACTGCTTCTATTTCTACATCCTCTTTCTGATCTCCTGCCCTCTGCTGTGTGCTGTGGGTACAAGGTCTCCTCCTTACCAAGTCACTGTCAGTGCCTCCATCCTTTGAGATTTGATGTTTTACTTCAAATTCTTTTAAACTTGCTTTCCTTTCCTCACATGCCCTTTCCCTGTTCTTGTTTTCATTGCGTTCCTTCTCCCTCCTGCAGTTTTCTCTACCCTCTGCTATCCATTGTCTTTTTCATGTGGACTTTTCTTTCTCTCTGAAGAATTCCATTTTCTAAAAGCTATCTTTCCCTCACTGCTGTTGTTTACTGCCACCCACTCCAAACAGGGTGGAAAGCTCTCCTTCACCTACTGTAACTGAAAGTCTGAACTCATCTGCTTTCAGCTGCTGGCATTCATACCACCAGCTAAAGGGTTCAGTAGTTTTGCAGTGATTCCCTGACTTTCTAACTCTGCACTGCCAGAGAGGAAACTGAAACACTGTCACAGGCAGCATGTAACCTGCTAACTGTCAGAGGAATAGCAAGTGGGCGGGGTTGACCAGCCTTCAAGATGGCCCCTGGGATCCTTACCTCCTGGCGTTCCCACCCTCTGCAGTTCCCCTTGGACCTGTGTGACCAATAGAGCACTGTGGAAGTCACTGTGTATGATTTCTGAGGCCAGATCATGAAAGACATTGCAGCTTCTTCCCTGGGTTCATGGATTGATAGATGTCCAGTTGTAGATATCCCAAAATTTTTTGAACTAATCCTCTATTATTGGATATTTAAATTACTTCATATGATTTGCTATTAGGTTTGCTGTGGTGTGATTTGCTGTGGTAAATTTCCTTTTACATTGAGTTTTACCCACTTACACAAATATATTTTCAGAAAGAATTCTTAGGTGTGAAAGTGGGGGTTAAAGAAAATACACATTTTAACGCTTTTGCTCTGTATTGCCGCAGTACCATTTACTGAGCTCTTAACTACTTTTCCTGATCTTAGATTTATCAGGCGCATCTGTGGGCTTTATCCTAGTTTCTCTGCCAATGGTATAATTCACCTAAAAACAACAGATACGGATGCATATCTGGTTCTGGGGAAAACCAGTTATCATGCTGTGGGGACACTCAAACAGCCCCAAGGAGAGGCTCACATGTAGAGGAACTGAGGCTTCCTGTCAAACACTGGCACCCACTTGGCTGCCATCTTGAGACACCTTGGAAGTGGATCCTCCAACTCCAGTTAATGATTCAGGTGGCTGACGTTCCAGCGGACATCTAGCTTCATGAGAGACCTGAGTCAGAATCATCTGAACAACCAAAGTCTTGACTGACTTACATGAAGTGATGAGATAATAAATGATTCTTATTGCTGTAAACCGCTAAGTTTTGTGGTTATTTGTTCTTCAGCATTAGATGAATAATATAAGAACCATGTCTCAAAGACATGAACTAGCCCTCCTCAACAGTCTTTCTATGTTTACTTTTTGTGAAGTTAAGGCTGTAGAAAGAAGTAACCTAAGAGCACAGGCTTTGGTGATAGACCTGGTTCTGATCCCAGCTCCATGAAATCCTAGTTTTTTGACCTTGGATAAAGTTGTTTAACTTCTCTCAGCCTCAGTTTCCTCATTTTTAAAATGGGGAGCCCCAAACCATAAAACTCCTAGAAGAAAACATAGGCAGTATGCTCCTTGACATCAGTCTTGGCAACGATTTTTTTTCTTGTATTTGACACCAAAAGCAAAAATAAACAAGTGGGACTACATCAAACTACAGCAAAGGAAATCATCCAAAAAATGAAAAGGCAACTAAGGAATGGGAGAACATATTCGCAAATCCTAAGTCTGATAAGGGGTTAATATTCAAAATATGTAAAGAAGAACTCACAAAACTCAATAGCAAAAACCCCCAAACAATCTGATTAAAAACGGACAGAAGGGGGTGGGATAGGGAGGGTGGGAGGGAGACGCAAGAGGGAGGAGATATGGGGACATATGTATATGTATAGCTGATTCACTTTGTTATACAGCAGAAACTAACACACCATTGTAAAGCAATTATACTCCAATAAAGATGATTAAAAAAATGGACAGAACAGAATAGACATTTTTCCAAAGAACACATACAAATGGCCAAAAGGTACGTAAAAAGTGCTCAGCATCATAAATCATCAGGAAAATGCAAATCAAAACCACAATGAGATATCACCTCACACTTGTTAGAATGTCTGTCATCAAAAAGACAAGAGGTAACAAGTGTTGGTGAGTATGTGGGGAAAAGGGAATACTTGTACACTATTGGTGGAAATTTAAATTGGTGTAGACACTATGGAAAACAATATAGAGGTTCCTCAAAATATTAAAAATAAAATTACCATATGATCCAGCAATTCCACTTCTGGGTGGAATATATATCCAAAGGAAACAAAATCAGTATCTTGAAGAGATATCTGCACCCTCATGTTTATTGAAGCATTATTTACGACAGCCAAGATGTGGAAACAACCTAAGTGTCCATCGACAGATGAATGGATAAAAAAGAAGTGGTTTATGTACAATGGAGTATGTAAAAAGGAAGAAAATCCTGCCATTTATGGACAAAATGGATGGATCTTGAGGGCATTGTGCTAAGTGAAATAAATCAGACAGGGGAAGACAAATATTGTGTGATCTCATACGTGGAATCTAAAAAACCAAACTCATAGAAATAGAGAACAGCCTGGTGGTTGCCAGTGACAGGGATTGGAGGTGGGGGAAAATGGGTAAAGGTGATCAAAACATACAAACTTTCAGTTATAAGATAAATAAATTCTTGGAATGTAATGTACAGCATGGTGACTATGGTTAACAATACTGTATTGTATATTTGAAAGTTGCTAAGAAAGTAGATCTTAAAAGTTATCATAAAAAGTTTTTTGTAGATATGCGAGATGACAGATGTTAACTAAAATTATTGTGGTGATCATTTCACCATATATACATATATTAAACCATTACATTGTTCACCTTAAACTAATACATTGTTACATGTCAATTACACATCAATAAAACTGGAAAAAAGGAAAATGGGGGAGAATGATGGTATCTGCCCAGCAGAGCTGTAGATTAAAGATGTTATATGTAAAAAACAAAAGTATCCCAGATCCCATCACAGGGTCAATGTTTAGAAAATATCATCTTTAAAGAAGACAAAGAGATCCAACAGAAAAAGCAGAAAACTCCTCTCAATGTTTCTCTCCTTAATTCTTTTCTGGTCAGATGTATATAAAGCTAACAAAAATTTGGATTCAGTTCAATTTTGTTTTGCTTCTAAATTCATTGCTAATTCACTGTCTTGCTTTTGTGTGAATGGACTTATTCAAAACTTAGAATGGGACACAGGAGTCCTTGAGAATGTTTTGACCAGTACATTAAATCAAGAGGAATATGAGACTGGTGCTTGCCTTCCGTTATGGATAGAGCAACACCGTTCAGATTTTCATTATGAAAATGGACACCTTCTCAATGGACTAAGCATTTTCTCTGAGTCAGAGCATGAGAGACAGGTTGCCATTGCTTTTCCTATTACTGTAAATGCACATTAGTGGAACTTTACCAACAGATACACCTTCCAGAGATTTTTTTTACGGTGTACACTTTTACGGTGGAATGAATAATTCAAAGCTTGTGTAGACCCCAAATTCCAGGCTTAAATTGTTAATGAATCTATCAGTGTGACAGATGCATCAAAATAGAAAACTACTAAATATTTATAATGATTCCTTATTAAGTTACTGAGTGATTCCACTTTCCCAAGCTAATAACTTGAGCCGTAAAGGCAGCACTTTTTTTTTCTTTGCAAGAATATCCTTCCATCTCCCAACCAGTTAATTAAGTTGTTTAGGAAAAGAACTTGTAAGATTCATGTCAAATGGCAGAATCAAAAGATTTATTGAAATTGATGATATGCTCAGGAAAATCTGTTGCTGGGTCAAAAGAAGGTCTGTAAGAATTAGTTTTAAAAAACCCATCAGGATAGATCACCAGCACTACTGATAAGCATTAACTTTATTCAGAGTAAATAATTTGAGAAGTTTTTACATAATTATTTTTCTTATCGGGGATTTTCTGTTAATATACTTTAAACAGTTGTCTATAAACCTTATTTTAGGGGAGTAGACTAATACTTAAAATAGACATTAATTAAATTATATTAGTTTTTTTGTTGTTGTTGTTTGTTTGTTTTTGCCGGCCTCTCACTGTTGTGGCCTCTCCCGTTGCGGAGCACAGGCTCACGGGCCCAGCCGCTCCGCAGCATGTGGGATCTTCCCGGACCGGGGCACGAACCCGTGTCCCCTGCATCGGCAGGCGGACTCCCAACAACTGCGCCACCAGGGAAGCCCTTGACCCAGTTTTGACCAAAGTAGACTCTGGCAGACAAGGTTAGTTTTCCACCCAGACCCACTTTGTATCAATCAGGGCTCAATTAGAGAAACAGAACCACCAGGAGGTGTGTGTGTGTGTGTGTGTATGATACACGTATGATTTTTAGAATAGAGATTTCACCTTATGTAATTGTAGGGGCTGGTTAAACAGTCTCCTGAGAGGCTGTCATCTCATATCTGATGGTGGATCCTGAAGTCTGCATGCAGAGCAGGCAGTTGGGAAGGGAGGATGGATAGAAAGTGGGGGAAAACAAGGACCAGCTGGAATCCACGAACATGCGCTGGAGCCCACGTCAGTTCTCACTGCCTACCGCCTTGATATCATGGGTGTCCCATAGGAGGAGCATGTGGCCTTCGTCATGGAGCTAAACAAACACCTGACCCAGGAGTGGGAGAGGATACAGGAAGAGCCAAGGCAAATGGAGTCTCCTTGGAGTTCCCTTACCCAAGGGTAAGTTATAGGCCTGGTCACTGTCCCACATCAGTGAAGCGAGCCAGCAGATAAGCAACGACATGTGTGAGCTACAAAAAAACGCCTGACTCCACCTTCTGAGCATAAAAAATAAAGTGCCACTGCTCCACTTTCAGCCTCCAAATCTTGTACGAAGTGTATTTTTGGCCCTCCCTAACCGGAAACTTAGGTGGAAGGGATTCTCAGATATGAAGTCCGGTCTAGCCGCATCTCCATATTACAAAGCTTCCACAACCATGGATCCTTTATACCATTTGATTTTTCTTGGTGCCTGCTCTCTCTACCTGCTTTCAGTGTGCTTTAGGCTCTCAACCAGCACCTGCAGCTCTTCTTTTGGAGGGATGAACTCGGGCTACTGGAGTGGCTTTCCCTGGAAGTGCCTGGGAGTTTCCTTTTCTCCAGGCAGCCCTTGACCTGTGACTGACCCATTGTATCAGTCCTTGGTGTATCCCAGTTACTGGGGTCTTTGCTTTGGATCTAAGTTTCTCGATAATAAAATTTATCTCTGGCATCTTATATGGCCCAGTGGCTGAAATTTTTTTTCCAGAATCTTATTTTTCCTATGACAAGGTCCCTGAGAGAGGCTGTGACTCTCTGAAATTGATGAACTGTCTTTGTGATGACCTGATCTATACCTCATTTGATAGACACCCTAGGTCGTAGATCCTAGGTCCCCCATTCTTTTCTTGTGAGCTGATTATCCGGGTCTGGACTCACCATAAGACTTACCTCTCATATGCCCTTCCCAAGACTATGAACTCTGACTTGGGCTTATATGTTCAGATCTCAGCCTTTGACCAACCACCAGGCTTTCTGGATCTGCTTGTCAGAGGCTTCCCCAGACTGATCCTTCATGTTTCTGCCTGAGCCCCATTTCTGACAAAAAAGAAGGAGCTGTCAAATAACAATTTTTGATAAGTGAAGAAATACAGAAGTCAAAGATTGAAGAATAAAAGACAAAAAAAATTTATTTAACAGTGTTCCAGATATTGTTCTAGATGTTGGACACATTGCACTGAACTAACCAAAGTCCCTGCCCTCATGGAGCTTATCTTCTATGGGGAAGAGAAAGACAATAACAAAAAACAAATATATGAGGTAGAAATAAGGGCTAAAGAAAATAAAGCACAGTAAGGAGACAGAAATAGGACAGTGGGCATGTGCTGTTTAGAGACGGTGGTTTGGAAAGTCCTCTCTGATGGGGTCGCATTTGGGCAGAGACCTGAAGGAAAAAGTCAAAGGGACCTGGGGGAGGAACTTTCCATGTAGATAGAACACGAATGTAAAGGTCCATTAACATTCGAGACTAGGCAGGGAATTACTGCAGCTTACATTAATTGATCACACGGCCTCCTGCTAAGCACTTTACATATATTATCTCCTTGAATTCTAAACTGTTAATGTTATGATGAATGTTGCTATGAACATTTTTATGCACATGAATTTTTCTCCATTTATTTCAATCATTTTCATCGGGTAAATTCCCA